CAATGTGAGGATGATTCTATTATTAGAACTACAGAATAAAATTTTCAAACAAGAAAAGCCAACGCACAAGTAGCGAGGGAAGCTTCCTCAAAGTGAGATTTAAGTTCTAGCAACAGTAACTTTCATCCAATAGGAATATAAGCTCTGTGATACAATATTTGGAAGTCTAGAAATAGCACATTCCTCATGGCTGATTAAAAGAATTTAAGATATAAAGCACACTTTCATCAAAACAAAGAAAACTGTCTCATGCCTTCTGAACAGTTAAGAGGCATGCAGACAGCTACCCTAATTCAACAGCACTAGCTTTACTCAGACTCAACAAATTCTAATCTCATACTTTCATTTGTAAAACTACATTACAAAACCTCACAACTGCAATGAAAAAAATTACAACCAACAAAAACAACCAAAAACTTATACAGATTAAATTTATTGTTGGACAAGAAGCTGAATTCAAAGAGAGAAAAAAAAAATCCTGACTTTCAAAAGGCATTTCTGAAAATAGTACCATTAGCAAAACAGATCGTGCAGACTTTTTTTATACTAGCCATTCGGCACTGTAAAACAGGAATTCTAAAATCAGCCATGAGAGGAACTGCTTACAGTCCCTAATGTAGTCCGTATTTCGAGTCCGTCCTAATTTAAATGTAAGGGACAGATCCAAAAGCTGCTATTTAGCACTAATATTTTACTTCTGACTACACAGTTGGTTAGTTTTTTTCCCTTTAAGCAGAGATGTTAACAGCAGTTTTCTGCTTATGTTATTGAGTTTGTTCTCAACTTATGAATCATTTTTGCAAAATATATTCCCCCTTCTAATAAATATGAACGTTTACTTCAAGAATTTTACATACCTTCAGTTCTGCCATGTTCTTGCTACTGCAACTTCCTACAGCAATTAGTCAATCGATTTTTAATTTTCAATCTCTTAGCATCACTGAAAGCATCCAGGCTCTCATTCTAGTCAGTGTCGTGTGGACATCCTGAAAAGCTATGCTGCATTTCCAGCTGCAATGTTTAAGTTGATCAGACAGCTGACCAGACTGCCTCCCCTCTTTATCTTTAAGATAAAGACGACCCAATTACATCATAGCATTAAACAGCCACCTGGCATCTGCTGGGTAAGAGGAAAAAGCAGTAGAAGGATGTTTTTGAGAAAGTATGCTTCTGTGGCAGGTGTCAGGGAGATGAATCCGATTTAATTAAATGGATCGCCAGCACGCTTCCTGTAAGCAGCCAGGCAGGACACGCTACTGAAAGATTGAATGAGGACACATTTTTAATTCAGGAAGAGCAGCTTCTTTAGACTGCAGTTGAAGGTATATCATTTTTCGTTTGTTTGTTTGTTTTGCATCCTAAATGAGCGCTTGGAGCTAGAACTGGTGCCAAACTGATTTAATATTTCAAGGTAACAATGACTGTGTGAAGGATACCTACCTAAATTATATGCTACACAGCACAAAAACACCAGTCCGACTTTCCAAATATACTGCGTATCCGGAATTAAGGCTACATGGACAATGCGGATGCTCATTCCCTATACATTTTTCCATACCTTGCAGTAGGAGAGCAACATCTGTTTGATGATGACCTGGATGATGGGACCAAGGGCCCCCCTCAGCAAGTCTGCAGGCGATACAAAGCTGGGAGGAGCGGCTGACAGCCCGGACGGTCGCGCTGCCATTCAGAGATACCTCAAGGGGCTGGAGAAACGGGCAGAGAGAAACTTCACAAAGGTCAACAACGGGAAATGTCACGTCCTGCACCTGGGGAGGAAAAACCCCAGCACCAGGACAGGCTGGGGGCCGACTGGCCAGAGAGCAGCTTCGCAGAGGAGGACCTGGGGTGGTCCTGATTCTATATTTAAGATTCTGGGATTCCTGACTGAAAACCCATTGCATGCTATCCTAAACTTTGTCTATTTTCCTTTAATTTTCTCTAACGATCTAGTATACACCTTAAGTATAGTCGCCTGGTTTCTTACCATTTCCTGATTCTAGTAATGAATACTCATTTGCACTGCTGCATCAGGAACCAAGGACTAAGACTAATGAAAAAGTCAGCTATTTCACACGAAGATTATCACGCCATATCTGTTTAAAATTCAGAGGTTAGCAAAATCTAGCACTATTACTTTCAAATGCAAACAGTGCCCATGGACAAGATTCAGCTCAATTTACCAAAGGAAACCAGTCTTCCACTCCTCCAGGCATATTATGAACACACTCATGTTCAAAGATGCCTTCGTACACAGACAAGAAGTATTGCATGTTCTCCAGCTGGCTCTGAAATGATAAAGTTTTAGCAAGTTGCCCTCCAAGCCTCTATCTACTGTTTGGCATTCCAGAAATTCACAACGCTCATATCCACGACCTCAAGTAAAAGGTAGCAAAAAATCAAGTTACCTATAGACTTCAAAACAGCGATACAGATGAATGTAGGACAACTCCCTTGTGGGATGATTTAACTAATGACTTAATCCACTAATGCATTCAACAGTCACTAAGATTTGCCTATGAAATCAAAGGAAAAAAGAAATGTTCTGGATGACCCTTGTAGGCAACTGACCACAAAGAACAGAATTTACACATAATCCAATCTTAAACAAGACAGTACAACGGTGACCATCTGAAGTATCCTCCTTGCTACTGTGAAGTCTTCAAATACTGCAAAAACACAACATGTTGTGATGCAAATTCAGAGTACTAAGAGACTGATGGCAAAAGTGAGAGCACGTCCAGTGATCTCTATCGTCCATTGCTAAAAGCGGCCCCAAGAAGAGGAAAGTAATAAGGACCTGCAAAACATGAAATAAGTAAATATCGTTACCTATTGCAAACACGAGTTCTGAACGTAAAACAGCATCAAGTAAAGCTTCCTGTCTAAATTAAAACTTTGTCTTTATTCAACTGCATTTCATCTTTTATCCTGGCCATTTCTGCAATTCTTCAAGTTTCCCTTGAATTTTAATCCTATCCTCCAATGTGCTTTTAACCTTTCTATACGGACATCACTTGTAGATTGAATGAGCGCATTATGTCCATCATCATGGTCATTAATGAAAACATTGTAACGCTACAGGCCAAGCCAGATCTCGTTGGGATTCCATTCGATACGCCCTTCTATTTTCACAATACTTTAAGAGCACGTTTTTAAAACAAGTTTCCTTAATTTGCTTATCCGAGAGTACTGCCAAAAGCCTGCTAGAGCCATGCTATGGCGCATAGCGTTTCTAGCCTAATTATACACAAAGCCTGTGCCTTACCACAGGTCACCATGTCAAAACCTAAGGCAAATGTCTGCCCTCTCTGTACTTCAATGCTACTGCTACAAGTCCCAATGCCTCTTAAAATCCTTAGGACACTCGCACGCACAAAGAGAGAAGGCACCACATTTCATCCACTAATCCTGCTGCCACATCCTACCATCATGCAGAAAACACAGGGTGGGGAAAGAGCGAGGGGAAGAGGAAGGAGGAGGAGGTATCTCCCTCCATCTGTCCAAAATACTCTGAAGACAGAAGTCAGAAATTAACCTGAAACAAGCCTTAAACAGGGAACATACTCTAACCAGATTTCAGTTGTTCATTGTCAATCCAAGCCATGAATTAGACAAAAAGCCCTCAAGTCCCAAATGGAAACTCAGAAGTTTTGTCATGCATCTTTATTTTAAAAGTTGCAGAAGAACAAGACACCCCGCGTCTTCCCTTCGGCCTGGCTAAGCATCAGACAAACGTTTAGTTTGCCAAATGTTCTCCACAAGCACTTGCATCTTGACAACGGCTCTCAGGATTCCAATATCATTTTTTCTTACATGAAAAATAACTTCATGTTTAGCACTCTGTTTCAAGAAAACACGGATTTCTCCCAGAACAGACACTTAAGAGTTCTTGTGGAAAGATTGCACGACATAAAGCTTTTAATCAAAATTGGCATCTGATTCGAAAAGGAAAAAAAACAACTACCTCCCCAGCACATTCAAAGTGACTAAGTACCATTATACTTTAAACAATCTTTTTATAAGTCCATACCTATAGCTAGTTATGAAGCATATTTCAGTAATAAGCGATAACAGAATGGATATATGAGCAAAATCGCCGACACAGCAAGGACC